AAGAGAGAAAATTACAATTGATCCTATAATTCTAGTAATCTATTTTCTCACACTTATAAAATTTTATAGAAGAGCCTAATATTTATATGAAATATGTAGGTGATGTCAAAACCCTCTTAGTAGAGTTGTTGATGAAATAGAATGCCAAAAATCGAGTCCAAAACGAACTAGGAATGAAAAACGCGGAAAAACCCGAACAGAACAGGCAGCTCTGCTGTGCCAGGCAATCTGCCCAGAAAAAAAAAATTGTTTTGCTCCAAGTTGTTTTCTTCATCCCGAACTCTTCGTCAAGTCCAATACCAATTTCCAACTTCCTATGAGTTTCCAAAATAAAACTTCAACTTGACATAGGACTCCAATAGCATTTCAAACTTGAATTCTTCTTGACGTGCACTTTAATTAGAATTCTTCAATACTTCAAACAAGAAATTCGGGTCACACCCAAATTCTTAACAATCTCCACCTTGATACGAATTCCACTAAGTATTGAACTGACTTCTTCAACAATAACCAAAAAATTAATTTCTCAAACAAAACACAATACTCCACCTCTTCTAATGACTACTTTTGTAGAATTATCTCAGATTCTCAAAACCATAAATATTTTATAATTTACCAAAATGGGTTGTAACACACCCCAAGGTAGAATCAAACTCAAATGCTTTTAAAGAAGGCAAATTGCTAGATTTTACACATTCTACTCCACTTAAAGTATGTTCAATATAATCAGCATCTACATACCCTTTTCCACTGGGTCCGTCCCTAGCAATTGAATAGAATGGCATCACAGGTGATGGTGGCAAAATGGCATTATCCATATCTCCCGAACTCCACTGAACAGTATTCTTCAAATCCGACCATTTACGAGCTCCTAAAAGTATTGTATCAAACTGAATGTCTACCACGGTCCTGAACCTATACTGATTGACTCTTCTAGTTTCTGCATGACCCTGTAAGATGTATAACTGAGACCTTTTCTGTCCCTCCAATACAACATGGGCACCCTTACAAACCTTCAAACTCCACCTCTACCAAAGAACTCATAACCTTTTGAATCAAGGATAGACAACGAGATGAGATTCTTCTTCAAATCCGGAACATGTCGAACGTGGCCAAGTGTTCTAATTATTCCATCCAAAAGCTTCAATCTGACCATACCAATTCCAGCAACCCGACAATGTGTGTTGTCTCCCATAACCACGACACATTTGGAAAGAATTTCATATGTAGGAAACAAGTCCTTATTAGGACACGTATGAAACACACATGCTTAATTAAAAATCAAATAATCTTCCAGTTTAGACTCAATGTCAGAAATAGCTAAGAGATCTCCATCAATGTTCTCTATGAGGTCTTCTTCGCCTGAAGTATCTGATTGCTTTCCATATGAACTTACAGCCATCTTTTCTTTATTCTGTAATTTGTAATAATCTTTCTTCAAGTGCCCCTTCTTCTTGCAGTAGTTACAAATTTGATTACTGAAATTTCGATCTGTCCCTTCCAGAACCACCATGGGCAATCAGGCCTTCTCCATCTCAGGCCTCATAAATCAGATGCTTCATCTTCTCTTTTGAATACAAAGTATCAAACACCTCCTCTATGGTGAGAGTATCNTTCTCCATTTCTGACCTCTGAAATCGGATGCTTCATCTTCTATTTTGAAAACAAAGCATTATACACCAATGGTGAGAGTATCACGACTATATAAGATCGTGTCTCTAAATGAAGAAAACGAAGCGGACAACGAACACAATATGATCAAGGCCAAATATTCTTCATCATACTCTACTTTCAAAGTTTCCAAATCAGCGACGATCTCCTTAAATACAGTCAGGTGATCTTCAAATGATCATCCTTCTGCCATTCGATGAGAGTATAAACGCTGTTTGAGATTCACCACTTTTAGTCATGCACAATTGCTCCAACTTCAACCATAAAGCAGCTGCTAAATTCTTATTCAAAACATCTTGAATGAAGATGAATGTGAGAAACTACCTTCTTATCATTTCGTAATTTCTCCTCCGCAATCAAAGTTGCGGACATCTTGTTAATTCCTAGCAACGCATCATCCAAATCCAACTGTGCGAGTACTGCACGCATCTTTACCTACCATAGAGAAAATTTAGTGCTCCGGTCTAAAAGTGGAATGTCATACTTCATGGAAGTCATCACGAACAAAAAACCTCAAACAAATCAAATCACACGCTCTTGCAGAACTGTTGAACCTAGGCTCTAATACCACTTGTTGTGAAACCAACCACCGGATTGAGATGTTGAAGTTATATGGCACAATAATAAAGTATTTGATCAAGCAAAAAAATAATAAAGACAATAAATATGGTAGGGAAATTAAGAGATTTTATTGACTCAAGAATAATGGAGAAGAGAGAAAATTACAATGGATCATATAATTCTAGTAATATATTTTCTCACACTTATAAATTTGTATAGAAGAGCCTAATATTTATAGGAAACATGTAGGGGACGTCCAAACCCTCTTAATAGAGTTGTTGATGAAGTAGAATGCCAAAAATCGAGTTCAAAACGAAGTAGGAATGAAAAACGCGAAAAAATCGGAATTTTTTTTTGCTCCAAGTTGTTTTTCCATCTCAAACTCTTCTTAAAGTCCAATACCAATTCTTAACTCCCAATGAACTTCTAAAATAGAATTTCAACTTGACATATGACTCCAATCGTATTTCAAACTTGAATTCTTTTTGACGTACACTTCAATTAGAATTCTTCAATACTTCAAACAAAGAATTCGGGCCACACCCAAATTCTTAACATATGTCATCTGCCATCCAGAAATAGTTTTTCGACGTTCAGGTGTCCACTTGGGGTCTATTATAAGGAAGTAGCTGAAGTAATCCTCCACACCATTTGAAACATTGGTAAAATTGTAATTGAGATTTTCAACATCGGGTTTAGGGACTATATTCTCAAATTCCTTGACATTCAATCTCCAGTTCTGATTAGTATAGTCTTTCAAGTTATTAAAACCTAATTTCATCCCTGGAATAAGGGTATCAGTTGGATAATCAAAGCTTTCCCGCAGAATCCTGTCCTCGGAACCATTTATATTCATCTCTCTCAGTACAAAATTCCCCAAATTCAACAGCGTGGCTGCTATATTTGTGCCATTTCTGCCTGCATACAGCTCGATAGGATCTGATCTGTTGCTTGTTATAATAAGTTCACCAGCACTACTTATTGTGAGAATGCCAGAATTATCCATAATAGGGTTTTCTCTATTACCAAGCCATACTGGATAGGAAGAATAATTTGTATACCATTTTCCTAAATAACTATTATTGGTATATTCAGACTTATAGAATCCTAAAGTGAAAACTTTGTTATCAGAAACTAAGGAAGCAGATGAGTTTAGTGTTGGGTTGTGTGCCCATATAGTATAGTTTTGCTGATGTAAAAATAACAATATTCTTATATTAAATAAAATTGTTTTTATTTCATTTATTGTTTTTTATTTAATTTTGAGCATGCGAATTAAAGTGCTTATGATCACTAGAGATAATATAAGTTGGGTACTTGCGTTGAAAAGTACAGTGTGACACAACTTATATTTTGATCATAAATAATTTGTTCACTACCTATGTATAAGAGTTGACATCTTGTACCGGAATGTTGTAGTGTTGTTCAATTCACTATTCGAGTTTGTGATTTATCCTTATCACAGAAATAGTTAAAGGCAACACTAGTACACTTGGAGTGTATTGAACGGACCACGTCTTGAGTTTAATTCTATAGCATGACTGTGCGAATAATTAAATTCCACTTGACCGTTGTGCATTTCATCTAAATCCCTTGACAGAATTATGTATATCTTTTCGTGATTTTACTGGTTTTTAATTCATCAATGGATGAGATCAATTTGATTGGTCAAATATCTCAATGAGTTGAGAATTTGAGAATGAGCGAAGTAGAGAACATGAATTCGTGTCACGAACCATCACCCTAAAAAATGGGTAGAGTGACTACTTAAATATTTTATGTTGAACAGTTAAAATCTGAGCTCAATATTTAGCGACGATTAAATTTCGATATCTGTGATTTGTTCACAAGTTGTGTTGAAGAAAATGGTACTTAAGTTAGTGAGAATAATTAGAGGGGCAAAACGATTATTTATGCTCGTACCTAATTATCGAATCTTGGATGGGAATAAAATACATATACGACAGGTCAGAGGAAAGTATTACAGATTTATTGGCTTCTGTGATCTTATATATTCCGAGAGTTCAGCTTTTTGTCTTTAGTGGAAAAAACAAAGACTAATAATTAGATTTGATGATCTAGATCGACTAGACATGATCTAATTATTAGAGCATGGAAAATATATGTCCGATTAGGTCCATGTGGTAGCTCT